ACTAAAGTAGTTGCAATTATGGCTACGTTTGATCGTCTAACACTTGTGTAAAGGTTTAGAATATGGTGTATTGCACTAAATATGTCAATTTCTTATGTAAATATGATGCAAACAATCAAAAACTTTCAAAGAATAAAACACCGTAAACCCTATACGCGCGTATGATATGATATTGAACAAGGCTAAATGTGGATACTGAAGTCAGTTTCATGAAAAAGTATCTGAACTATACGCAAAAATACACCATAATACTGACAGTGTAATCGGAAGGATTGGGCGATTGTGTTTACTCTTGTTCAACCGACCTTCACCTCAAAGAAATTGCCTAATATGTACAACAATGTTGACGTATGACATCACTACCGCTGACCGATTTCTTACAAAATGGCGGCTTTGCTGACAAGGGTACACAGGATTTTGCAAGGACCCTTCTATTGATTCAGGGATCGTTTGTCCATAAATATGACATGTAAGTAATCAGAATGATTCTGACTATCTGTGTATTGTTATATGTTTTTATCGTTTTCACTATAAGTAAGAGAAAAAGCCAGAAATGCAGATAATTACCGTTGTCGTTCTGCGTGATTTTGCGTCAGTCATGGCGTCACGCTGCACGGAAACTTTGACAATTTTTTATGAATTATCAAATCATTGCATTGTATCTATTTATAATTTCCTATTTCTTGCTACGATACTCTTTCCATGCATATTCCAAAGGTATTGAGCCATTGCAAGCAATGAATAGACGGATGAATGTTGGAAAATTTCAGAAAATGCTACACAGTGTAAAATAGGTTTTTGTCTTTGTTTACATTTCGAACCAGCGCAGTCTTTCGAGCACAGCGTTCGTTTTCACACCCAATATGTTTCGTCTCATTTTATCTAGACAGTTGGCATTGGTGACAAAGACCAGTTGCAGTTTGATTCTAAAATGTATGGGGAATTCATTGATGCATTTTTCGAAGCTGAATATGAAATATACGTGATGTAATAGGCGTCTCAATACCGGCCTTCGCGAAACGTGATTTTGTAAACACTATCCAATATGGCGGAAAGCGCTCTACGGCGTTCGTGTAAGTGTATTTTCGAAAACATCCCAACCGATTCTAGATTCATCGGCAACGTTTCAGAATTATCATTAGCGATTTCATGTAAAAGTGATATCAGTGTTCATTAATATGTTATTTTTTAAATTCAATACTCCCAGTAATTATCCGATTTTCACATTTCAAAACATACAGCAAATAACGCTGTGAATCGCGATTTCGTACTGTGTCAAAAATGGCGACATTTTCGATGAAGCCTATTTTGAAAGGTCATTTTCAGCACTTGAGCTTTGTCTAAAATAATAGTGGATGGTATCAAGAAACAGGAAATTTCCCGCAGAATTCGAAACTGTGAAGTGTATTTGTGTGCGTGGGATATTTTGATTTTTATTGGACTTGAAATTGAGGGTTGAAGGGGAAGGACATATATGTCCCTGTGGCATCCAGGGGGTTAAGCGCTCACATAACCCCCTGGCTGCCGAGTTTTTTTTCAGGCGCACATTTTCATACGGTTTGAAAAGTAAACGTTTTGCGAGAATTGCGCTCGCGTGGTCCTGGATATACGTACGGCTATAAAATTACACAGCAATGTAGAATATTAAATTTCCTATCCTTTGGAATAAATATAAGTGCAACTACCTTGGCGGTTTGAGAAATAGACACTGCTAAATGTTGTCCAAATTTTTGTTATGCGTTAAAAAACAGTAAATTTCTCCGCTTTTTATCGCGCACCGATAAAAGCACTGTGCTGCGAATTTTTTAATGTGGCATCTTTACGGAAAGTGTGAGCGAAGAAAATACAGCCTGATATCTGAACGACATAAATGTATATGAATTGGGTTTATGTGCTTGTGCATAACGTTATACGCTCAACATTAAAAATTACTCGCAATAAATGTAAAAAATGGATTTTCTTCTATGACGTCAAACGACGACAGAGAGGTCATACACGTATAATGATAAGGCGGCATAACTCCGTTATGCGTAACACTAGGTCAATGTAACTCAGATCACTTGGAAAGAATTTGTTGTGGATACGGACGCTATATTTTCGTTATTTTATGTTCATGGTGAACCAAACTATTCCAATTCAACGTTCCCCAATGTGAACGGATGCAGTTTGGTAGTTTCACAATTTATAAGAAAGGATGACAACGTATTACATGTGAAAGCACGTACTAGCGATTTGAATGGCCCTATCCGATAATTAAGTTAGTTCTTAGATTCCCATATTCTCCTGTTTGTGTAGCTGTAATTTGACTAATTTTGCATCGTTATTACCGGAATACTAGTCATATCTTCAAATGTAACGAAATTGCTGAAAATAATACAACATTTTAGTTGACGTCAATGCTTGTTTTATGCATTTTGCGACGTCGGAAAAAGACGACATTGGTATGCTGATTAGTATATATCTCACCTAATTTCCATTAATTGTATAAAAGATCTCGGCTTCTACGTCAGAATGTAACACTCTTTAGACAAAACATAAAATGACTGATTTTTCCATTTAAATAGTGTCCTGAATATATCAACAATTAGACGGTTTGACAGCGTATCTTATTGTGAACAACACGCGCACCTGTTTGGCATCAATTTAACGTAAATAAAAATTATATTTCACAACACCCGAATATTTTGTTTGGGATAATAAGAATTTTGTTTGTTTATGATTATGTAGCTATTTCTCTTCATACGTATGCAATGAAAGATGCAAAAGATAGCTTTTATATATGGAACTATATATTAGAATATGGATGCAAGATTTGTCCGAATTAACACATGAGATGGTATATAGATTTTTCAACAATTTTCCTATAAATGTAGTTAGAGTTTGATATCCTGTCATCACAATATTATTTAATCGAATATGAATTGAATATATTATCGAAAACAATGATAGAGAATCATAAAACGTTTCCAACAAACGCGCACCTTGCCGATCAAAATGGATCATTCTTTTGTCTATAAAACGACACAAAATTATGCAATGAACAAGACAATTCCTTTAAATATGTGTGCATATACATTTCATACCATATATAAATCATTGTCATTTATTATCAGTTTTACATATAAGGTTGAATTAAATCACCGTCCATTAACCTGTTCATATGAAATTGCAATATTAGTCCAAATAAATTGAATATTGTACATCATAGGAACTAAAGTAGTTGCAGTTATGGCTACGTTTGATCTTCTAACACTTGTGTAAAGGTTTAGAATATGGTGTATTGCACTAAATATGTCAATTTCTTATGTAAATATGATTCAAACAATCAAAACTTTCAAAGAATAAAACACCGTAAACCCTATATGCACGTATGATATGATATTGAACAAGGCTAAATGTAGATACTGAAGTCAGTTTCATGAAAAAGTATCTGAACTATACGCAAAATATACACCATAATACTGACAGTTTAATCGGAAGGATTGGGCGATTGTGTTTACTCTTGTTCAACCGACCTTCACCTCAAAGAAATTGCCTAATATGTACAACAATGTTGACGTATGACATCACTACCGCTGACCGATTTCTTACAAAATGGCGGCTTTGCTGACAAGGGTACACAGGATTTTGCGAGGACCCTTCCATTGATTCAGGGATCGTTTGTACATAAATATGAGATGTAAGTAATCAGAATGATTCTGACTATCTGTGTATTGTTATATGTTTTTATCGTTTTCACTATAAGTAAGAGAAAAGGCCAGAAATGCAGATAATTACCGTTGTCGTTCTGCGTGATTTTGCGTCAGTCATGGCGTCACGCTGCACGGAAACTTTGGCAAATTCTTATGAATTATCAAATCATTGCATTGTATCTATTTATAATTTCCTATTTCTTACTACGATACTCTTTCCATGCATATTCCAAAGGTATTGAGCCATTGCAAGCAATGAATAGACGGATGAATGTTGAAAAATTTCAGAAAATGCTACGCAGTGTAAAATCGGAATTTGTCTTTGTTTACATTTCAGACAAACGCGGTCTTTCAAGCACAGCGTTCGTTTTCACACCCAATATGTTTCGTCTCATTTTATGTAGACAGTTGTTATTGGTGACACAGACCAGTTGCAATTTGATTTTAAAATGTATGGGGAATTCAGTGATGCATTTTTCGAAGCTGAATATGAAATATACGTGATGTAATAGGCGTCTCAATACCGGCTTTCGCGAAACGTGATTTTGTAAACACTATCCAATATGGCGGAAAGCGCTCTACGGTGTTCGTGTAAGTGCATTTTCGAAAACATCCCAACCGATTCTAGATTCATCGGCAACGTTTCAGAATTATAATTAGCGATTACATGTAAAACTGATATCAGTGATCATGGATATGTTATTTTTTAAATTCAATACTCCCAGTAATTTTCCGATTTTCACATTTCAAAACATACAGCAAATAACGCTGTGAATCGCGATTTCGGACTGTGTCAAAATGGCGACATTTTCGATGAAGCCAATTTTGAAAGGTCATTTTCAGCACTTGAGCTTTGTCTAAAATAATAGTGGATGGTATCAAGACACAGGAAATTTCCCGCAGAATTCGAAACTGTGAAGTGTATTTGTGTGCGTGGGATATTTTGATTTTTATTGGACTTCAAATTGAGGGTTGAAGGGGAAGGACATATATGTCCCTGTGGCAGCCAGGGGATAATCACCTCACCTCACCTCATATATATAAACCATTGGACTTCAGCGAACCGGGGCGGTGGGGCAGCCTTGTGGTTGGTTCGTATGTTCAAAAACGTCTGTTATCCAGAGTAACAGATCTAAACCCCATTATGACACCCTGAACCTAAATGTTACCACACAAGGTGCAAGGTGTGACCTTGTAGCTGAAGCGTTCGCTCGTCACGCCGAAGACCCGGGTTCAATTCCTCACATGGGTCTAAAGTGTGACAAATATATTATTCTGCACAAAAAAACTTAAAATAAAATAACTTACCAGTGTAGTCACGGTGCAGTCCACATTCGAAACGAACCCGGAACAGTTTCCGTCTGAATAACGCCCACTCAGCTGACACGTGAGGCCACCAGGTGTCTTGCAGTAGGAGGCTGACAGACAGCCTGGGTCGTTCAGACAGAGCACAGAGCACTCGGTCCTGCTTCTGACAGCCTTGATTGTTATCAGATCATCGTCGGTTTTTGATGAGGGGCAGTTCTTGAAAGCAACACGTCTTCTTTCAGCAAAGATGGCCGACGCGTGAAGAAACAACATCAGCAGACAGCTCTCGTGAAGCCTCATGGTTGGTTCTGTGGGTTGAAACTTATTTCCTGTATGATATAGACTCTGATTAGATCTGATCTATATCTGCAGTCATTAAACAGAATTATGCATTTTCTGCAGTCACTTGTGAATTGAACTAAATGAAGGTTCATCTGATTAATGAGTATCGAGGAAATTATGTTCATCTATAAGTTAGACGCAGCTTCATGTTTTTCAAGACATCTTTCTGGAATATGCGTCTGTGAAGGCGTTCAGATAATGACGATATTGCACAGTACAATTACAGTTTGATTTCTTTCACGTGGTGCTAGTAACACATTAAGTTTCTATTGGCATTGAATGCATATTTCAGATAAAAGCTAATGGTATTAATTTCACATCATCTATATTGTTTGATGTTAAAAGATTTGCCAATGTGTGTTCATACATTACAATTTTGACAGACTTGGCAAATAATTAATAAAAGATACTGATAGCTTCTTAATGACTTGGCCATACAGTCATGACAATTTTAAGAGTGAAAAGTGAGCGATAGGTCTTGTGGGAATTCAAAGATTCATTAAGACTGTAGCCGTCTAAGCGTAACTCCTGTGTGTAATATTTGTAAATATTCTATCCACTGAAAACATGCTTCTGCTATTAATAATACATGTATTTTCATGGATTCATCATATTTTATCTATAGCTGTGCTATAGTTTCTCATTAAAATGTCTTTTCTGTTGTCGGAATTGAAGTAAGTCCCACACAGAGCTGGGATCATATGTCTTTGAAATATATATGCAAACGTCTGGAACCTTGTGTTCCAATACAAGCGTTCGTAGCGCTACGACATTCGCATGCCTATGAGTTGGTCTCAACCATTGACTGGATTACATTCTTTTCGTCAGCAGAGAAATTTCGACTTCTCTTTTTCCTTGGGGTTCAGGCGACATTTCGCGATTCCATTTTTGGCAATCCGGAAGTAAACAGAAAACGGAATTGTTGGATATATGGAAGCTAACCAGTGACGTTAACCACACTGTTAAACTTTGACGGCGACGTTAGCTAACGGCATGACTAACCATGTTTTGAACAACGCATATTTAACGTTCGGTAATCTAACGGCCGGTTAAGGATTTAACCGGCCGTTAGGAGTTAACCGGCGGTTAAGATAACCGAGTGCTCTGGGTCCGGTTGTTCAAAACTCGGTTACATTTAACCGACTGTTACCTTATAACAGAGGGTTATCTTGTTGTTCAAAACTCTGTTAACATTTAACAGGCTGTTAACGTGACGTTAAGTTAACACACCTAAGGACCGCCGCTCACTTTTTAACAGTGTGGTTAACTCGCAAATGGCGTTCATGGCTAACACTGCTTTCATGATGCCAGTTCAGCAAAGAAAGGATAGGGTGTATCGTGGACTGAACTTCGATATTGGAAATTATTCTGACGAAGAGAGTTACATACGAAACTGTAACTATGCACATCATAGGAACTAAAATACATGTTGTACAAGTACATGATGCCTACGTTTCATCTTTTAACACTTGTGGAAAGGTTTATATATGCTTTACTACACTAAATGTGTGAATTTCTTCTGTAAATATTCAAACAAACACTTTCAAAGAATATAACACGTACACCCTATATCCACGTATGATATGATATTGAACAAGGCTAAATGTAGATAATTAAATTAGTTTCATGAAAAAACATCCGAACGATTACATTATGATACTGAAAGTGTAATCGGCGGGATATGGTGATTGTGTATACTCTTATTCTACCTCAAAGAAATTGCCAAATACACTCCCTTTTTAAGAAAGAGAAGAAGCCAGAAATGCCGATTATTACCGTTGTCGTTCTGCGTGATTTTGCGTCAGTCATGCCGTCACGCAGCACAGAAACTTGACAGTTTCGTGTAAACACATCACATTCCTGTATTATATCTATTTTTAATTTCTATTTCTTACTACTATGCTCTTTCCATGCAAATTGCGTGTCTGAAAATTTGAGAAAGTGCTACACAGTGTAAAGTCTGAAATTGTCTTTGTTTACATTTCAAACAAGTGTCGTCTTTCGAGCACAGCATTCGTTTCCACCCCCAATATCTTTCGTTTCATTTTTATCTAGACACTTGGTATTGGTGACAAAGACCAGTTGTAATTAGATTCTAAAATGTATGAGGAATTCAGTAGGGCTGGGACGAGTAGGAAACAATGGAATCGAGTACCCGCATGTACCCGGAAATGTAAGAAATACATTCGGGTCCACTTTCTGAATATTCAATAACGATTTGACAGAGATTATTATAGAAAACTTGAACAGTTGGTAATAAGACATTAAAACTGACCTCAAGCTATTTAATTTACGTCTGTTTAACCAATATAGAGAGTAACACCATTACTTATACTCCTGCTACTGTAACTTAACTACTCACTGCTCATGAACAGATAAATTACAGTCATTAAAACTATGCTCCATTAATCGGACAATACCAATCATGTAAAAACTCGTGAATTTCCGGGTTAGAATATTGATCTTCAGTAACCCATGCTTGTCGGAAGAGGCGACTAACGGGATCGGGTGGTCAGACTCGCTGACTTGGTTGACATATGTCATCGGTTCCCAACTGCGCACAGCGATGCTCATGTTGTTGATCACTGGATTGTCTGGTCCAGACTCGATTATTTACAGACCACCGCCATATAGCTGGAATATTGCTGAGCGCGGCGTAAAACTAAACTCACTCACTCACTCACTCAATGATGTAAATGTGTGTTACGTCAAAAATGAAAAAGACAAGCTATTGTCTGCCCTTGTCATTACAGAGCTCTCTCCCTTTCCGGATACTCGATTCCTAGAAATAGGACTTGATTCCAGGTGTACCCGACCCGGATTCGAGTACCCGAGTACCTTTCCCAGCCTTAGAATTCAGTGATTCATTTGGCGCCGCTGAATATGAAATATAAGTGATGTAATTGGCGTTTCAATACCGGCCTTCGCGAAACATGATTTTGTAAACACTATCCAATAGGGCGCAAAGTGCACTTAGGCGTTCGTGTGAGTGTATTTATGAAAAGATCTGAACACAATTCCAGGTTTATCGGCAACGTTTCAGAGTTATTAGTGATTTTATGAAAAACTGATATCATTGTTAATTAATATGCTATTTTTGAAAGTCTATACTCCAAGTAATTATCCGATTTTGTTTTGATATGTGCGTCTGGCATCCCTTCCCATAGATGGATTTTAATTATATTTTTACTAATCATTTCAGCAATAGGCCTCATTTCTTTTTAATTCTTTGAATGTTTTAATTGAAGCACATCATCTTTTAAAAATGCTATATAAATTGACAAAAACTTAGCATAAACATTGCTCTCGCAACATGTGTGTAGGAAAATAAACAAAACATTATTATGTATCTATTTCTGTTGAGATGCAGGCCTACTTCGTAGTCACTTTGATTAAATGTTATATTTGAATATCGAAACCTTTTTGTCACAGCGAACACAACAGTATCTCTTGTCATATTACACGATAATATTTGGAAATTTTAACTTATTTTATAACAATATCTGAATGCTAATGTTATACACTGATAGGTTCATATAAGGAATACACTGGCACAATAGTATTTCTCTGCCGAATCGTTGCAGCGTTCTATAATACACTTATGAAATATAATACATGTTTTCCGTCCTTGAAGACATTGAAAAGAACTATTTATGCATTAAATGGAGGTTCACCTGATTAATGAGTATCGAGGAAATTATGTTCATCTACTACAGCGTTCTATAATACACTTATGAAATATAATATACTCTCCCAAAAAAGAAACGCATCATGAAAATGGCAATTTCATGTAGCAATGAATTAAAACGTGATTCATTTTACAAAAGGTTTTGCTCTGTTTATGAGTCCTATGGTGTTTATGTTTTGAAACATCACAACAAAACGCACCATCCGTAAAATACCCGTATTTAACAGCATGATTTCCAATTTCGGCGTGTAGTGTCACAGAATACACAATTCACATGCAATGCACGTGAAAGTTGGGGATCAGATAGTCTCAATGATGTGTATAAAAGGTTGATCGCTGTCTGTCGATTATTCACTGTATTTGGAATATTGTTGACGAACGCAAAATGCCACGTCTAAGTGAAGCCAACCGTCGTATCGCCATTGGTTTGCTTGAAGCTGGCCAGTCTCAACGTGCAGTTACCCGGCGCATGAATGTTCACCAAAGCTCCATTTCACGGCTCTGGGAGAGATATCGCCGGCAGCATTCGGTAGCAGATGCCCCTGGTAGTGGGCGACCTCGAGCGACCACTGCGGCGCAGGATCGCTACATTCGGGTACATCACCTGCGTCATCGAACAGCTACGGCGACCAGTACCGCTCGACAATTACCCGGATTGAGGAGGCTTTCTGCACAGACCGTCAGGAACAGATGGAGCGAGGCTGGTTTACGTGCCAGAAGACCTTATTTTGGCCCTGTGCTTCGACAACAACATCGTCGACATCGAGTTCAATGGTGCACCAACGTTCAGGCCTGGAACCTACCGAATTGGCGTAGAATCTGGTTCAGTGATGAATCACGATTTCTATTGGAACGACGCGATGGAACAATGCGGGTGTACAGACGTCGACGTGAACGTTTCGCCGACGCTTGCGTTCCCCAGGTGGACAGATTCGGCCGGGGCCGTGTTATGATGTGGGGAGCGATCACCTGCCGTAGGAGAAGTGATTTGGTGATGATCCAGGGCAACCTGACAGCTCAACGGTACTGTGACGAAATCTTACGCCCACACCTCCTTCCAATCATTGATCGCCAGAGGGAGTTGTTTCAACAGGACAATGCCAGGCCCCACACAGCACGTCACACTAGAGACTTCCTCCAGAACAAAAAACATCAATGTGCTCCCCTGGCCCTCAAGATCACCGGACTTAAACCCGATCAAACATCTGTGGGATGCCCTGAACAGACGGGTGCGACGCCGTAACCCTCAGCCCCAGACACTTCAGCAACTCGCACAGGCACTACAGGCAGAGTAGATTC